ATCAGTTTATGATAATAATGGTTTTTAGAAATAAAATGTCAATTTTCATTAATTCCTTAAACTAAATTTTATATTAATATAATAAATTTGACGAATTTATAATTAATTATGTACAAAGGTACTATGTTATCTCAAAAAAGAAAATTCGTATTCGTAGAAGATGATGAATTGTGGTTTTTATCGTTGAAATCCCATATAGTTTTTTCTGATTACAGCAGTTCTAAAAACTTTATTGTATTTTCATTATTCCACTCGAAAGGCATTTTGGTAGATCGTACTTATTTAATAACAAGACGGCACACACGTCCGTTCATCCAGGCGCTTGGCGCGAAGTGAGCGATGGAGCTGAATGTGAACACTCACTGCCGCTCGCGCTGCCCGTCCCTTGACTTCCGCACGAAAAACCGACATTTGAGGGATCGTCGGGCAGTGGCAGCGGCAGTGGTAGTGTCAGCGCGAGTAGCCTGTTTACATACTCTCCTGTCCACTGCCCCGCTCACTTCCCTGCCCAACAGGGCTGAATGTAAATGGGGCATATACACATTTTTTTTGTAGAAATATATATAAGTTATCGTAATTAGGCAAAATTTTTTATATTTAAATCTGCTCATTGTTCTTTTATTTTGTTTTTAGGTTTCCACATCAAAGTCAAAGTGGAATAAACTCGTCCATTTTTAACTCTCGCGTGCCCAGCATTTATGAACGACTCATATTCTAATTTAAATAAATATATTTGTAATTTAAAATGTCATATTAATAAGTTTTGTTAAACATACCTTTTTTTTTAGTTTTTTTTTCAAATTCAAATTTATTTAATTGCCATAAATAGGGTAAGTGATAGGTTTTTTACAATAAAAATAAGTTGCTTAAAGACCTATTTAGCCATGAGATACGGCATGCAACTGTTTTTTTTAAATTACCAAATAATATAGCTGGTAGTCGATTCTAAAATGTCAAGTTATTAAATGTAAGTTATATAATTCAAAATGTCATAATTTACTATATCAATATCATAATTTAAATTTAAATACACTCAATCAAAAATAAATGTCTGATAAAACAGTGATACGCAGTAATACACAGCAATTACGTCCATCACATGTCAACATGCATATTATTATCATTTTGAAATTCTTTAACACTATAATAACATTTTCTTATTAGCCATTCACGTAACTTTTTGGTCATGAGAATCATAGAGCCGTGTTTGAACTGCTTTGGAATTTTATTAAATATTTTTACACACATACAGTAACAACCTTTCTGATAGACAGAAGTTTTTGGTTTATGGTCTAAGACAAGCCGTTTACTATCTCTAGTGCTGCGTGGATATATATCACAAGCTGACTTAAATAACTCTGCATGTTGTTTGACAAATTTATATATTTCCAATATGTACATGCCAGGGACTGTTAATATACCCAGCTTAATAAATAGGGGCTTGCATGTATCAAATGGACCTTTACCGCATATAGCACGTATACATTTTTTTTGTGCGATGAGAACTCTATTTGCTTCAACGCTGTTGCCCCACAGAACCAGACAATAATTAATATTAGACGCGACGTAACCATAATAAGCAGACATAGTTACGCTAAGAGTCGTTATCTTAGTTAAACGCCTTAAGACGAAAGCAAACCTATTAATTTTATTACGTACAAACTTTATCAATGTGGCCAGTGAAATTTAAGTTCTCGTTAAGTACTACACCCAAAAATGAGACCATGGTAGTCCTTTCAATAGGTATGTTTTTGTACAGCACATTAAGATTATTTGCTGCTCGTCCTTTTACGTTAAAATTTATGAAATTTGTCTTATTCAGATTTACATTTAGATTAATTAATTTAAGATATTGGACTATAGGTATTATTAATTGTGTTATTAATGTCATTTTCATAATTATTTAAATTGTCATTATAATTTGATTTAACAATAATGGAAATATCATCTGCAAACATTATGCATTGATGTTTAGTCAATCTCGGTAAGTCATTTACATATAATAAAAACAATATAGGACCCAGAACGCTACCCTGTGGTACTCCAAACTTATTTATTTTATAATTAGAACGATCGGATGTAGTTGTATTTCTCTCGCTTATTCTATTTATTTCTACGCATTGATGTCTATTTTCTAGATATGTTTTAAGCGAAGAGTGAGAAAGACCTCTAACCCCATACTTTTCCAGTTTATCTAACAAGACATTGTGAACTACAAAATCGAATGCCTTAGACATATCGAAGAAAAGTACAGTAGTACGCTGTTTATCATCGAGTCCAAGAATAATGTTATGTATTAGATTAAAGCACGCGAAGGTAGTTGATTTTCCCTTTTGGAACCCATTTTGCTCCGGTGTAATGATTTTGAATTTCGCTAAATAGTTGAGCAGTCTTTTTTTGCACGGCCTTTTCAAATACCTTTAGTATGTTTTTTATATTTAACATAGATACCTTTTAAAATATTGAGATAAAAATATCATTAAAACGTAATTGTTATATAATATTATGTAATATTATATTAAATATGCAAATATTATATACAAAATAAATGACAAAATTTAAAAATTGTTCTCGATATAATTACTCGATAAAATAGGTAATTTAACAATACAATCTACTATTACCTACTGATCATTCTACCTATGTTTATTCTATGATAAAAAAACAAACCGCGCGAACACAGAATAGCGCACACTTTTTGTTTGAAATAGCTGTTCTAGTACGTAAGTACATATTACTTCAATGGTGAAAAAGTAACAAAGGAGACGATCCATTTCGGGCCCAGTCTATGTACACCACACCGTAAAAAAGCGAAAAATTTGGGGATTTTATTAAAAATAAAATAAAAGAATAAATCAAACAGTATAACATATTATACTACTACTACTACTTACTAACTGTATAACATAACTACATAACATGCTAAAAATAAAAACGCAATCCCAATTTTTGATGATTTTACAAGATAGCGCCCTTCCAGTCATAAAATTATATATCAAATGTCATGTCTGAAGAGTGACTTGAGTCATGAAATCATGAAGGTAGTGGTATATTTTTTTATTTCGATCTTGTTTGTGCAGTTGTGAACTCATCAATGCGATCATTGTGTATTTTTTATTCGGATTTGTTATTGCTTGTTTGACTCGGCTTTTGTTTAATGGACTTCATGATTTATCTGAGATTTTGATTTCATTGATATCGGACATCTGAAGAATCACATTTTTTGAATCAATAACCTCATGAAAGTTGACAGCTAACGTCAAAATGACATCAATTCGCCATAAGTGTTGCAGTTTTTGGTAAGAATAAAATATTAATACAACTGAAATAAAGGCAAATTCGTGGATTTAAATGACGAAAAGTGGTATAATATATTATTTTAATTTATTTCCCTACTTTTACTCTCTTATTTCTCCTTTGCTCTCTTATTTTTTGTTTTTAGTTTTAGTTGGCTTATTCTTAAATAATATAGTCTATTTTGCTGTGGATTGTAAAAGGCTGGTAGAGAACAGTAGTTAATTTTGAATAAAGGAATAAAACAGAGCGAAAATTGTTTCGGATATCCAATTTTTTCTATTATGCCTTGATGTAATTTGCACACGAAAAAATACTGAATAAATTAATGAAAACAATTTTAACAAATTAAGTTTAGATAAGTAAGTAAGATTTTTATTTAATTAGATTATATTACCTTATACATTATTATTTTAGATTACATTCGCTTAGACTTTACCTACATTTTATTCCATTCCATTCGGTTCCCCCATTTCTTCCCATTACTTTTCCTTTCGGTCCAGTCCATTAATTCTATACCATATAATATTTCAATTTAATTCCACTTCAGTTCATTCCATTCCACATTATACATGATGCATAATTTCCAATTATATTTAGAATTTTCCATACAAAATTGCGATTTCATATATGACGTTCTATTAATTTATTAATTAATAATTAATAAGACGTCTTAAATAAAATTGCCCATATTAATAAATTTTCTCCCAGTTGTTTTAATACAATAACTTTAATACAATGACTTTACACATACGATACAGGTATCCGTTATCCGATATGGTTGCGGACAACGCGAAAGCAAGTTCATATTTGTTGTGTTTCTTTTAGCTGATACCGATACCGAATCAGATAACGTGAAAATGTTAAAAGGCCAAGGCACGGTAATTTTATCTAAAGCCAAGGTGTACGGTGTAAGTTGTGTAATCATCATCATCATTACAGCCCTTCACAAGTCTACTGCAGAACATAGGCGTACCCCAAGGAATGACACAAAGCACGGTCCTGAGCCACCTGCATCCATCGATTTCCTGCATGTCTTCCAGGTCGTCACTCCATCCAGTGGGGGGGGGTCGCTCTACACTAAGTCTACCGGTACGAGGCGGCCACTTCAAAGTGTATAAATGTACATACATTTCATATACATTTCTCACATATCCAGATAATGGGGTCCGATACGATAAAGAAAATTAAATAAGACTGAATGTTACAGTTACAGCCTAGTAAAAGTTCACTGTTGAATGTAGCCCTCGCAGATTGCCTCATATGTGATATTTGTCACAGTTACCACGCTTGTCAGGAGGGATGGCAAACCAAGTTTTTTATTAAACCTCGACAAAAAAGAGGGGTATTATTTATTTAATATGTGTATCTTTGTATCTCTGAGTTTGTCTGTGGCATCTCAAACAGATGAACCAATTTACCGATATATTTAATCGATAGTGTTCTTTTCAGCGTATATTTTCATTATTTTATGTTTTATTATTTATGTTTTAATTATTTTTAATTTCAGTTGTTTTTAATTGTTAGGGAGGCGTTGCTACGTTTGTAATGGATATTCTTACACCGCTGCTACACGGTTAAAAAATAATGTAAATGACATAATATGAACACCAAAATTTACTGTATAATTTAGGGTATCACCGCAAACTATACAGTAATCCTATATAAATCACATAAAGGAAAAATATATCTTAAAGTATTTGTACCTTTAACTCGTCTTCAGGATATATGCCGCGTGATCGCAAGTCGGTAAAGCGAATACCGTGTGGGTTGGGCGCGCCACCACCTGCGCGACCCCACGGCTCATACGACGCCAGTTCTTTGCGAGCCTTAAAGTAAATATTAAGATACTTAGTACATTATTAAAATTGGCAATTTCAAAGTAGCTTCTACGTTAAAAAATAATTCTAGGTAGTAAAGGCGAGGGAATCCATCACCCTATTTCGTCTCGTGGTTTTTTTGTAGAATAAGATTAACAAACGAGCACACATTCCACCTGAAGGTGAGTGAGTTGACATCTACATATGTCTATTCTTGATTAAGAGTTCTGTGTGGTCACCCCTGAGGACTAAGATGGAATGCCTCGTTTCCAGTAAAATGGGTATCCGGCTCTCTGCACCACCATAAGAAACACAGCAAAATTAAGCTATTCATCCCGCATAGTGGTAAGTGGTGATGTAGCCCAAGATGGTAAAGCGCAATGACAGTCTAATAAAATTTATACTTCGTAGAGCCACGATGGAGCTATATTATAGTTGTAGCACGATTGAGTCGGCTCGATCTGGGAAGGACCAAGCTTTCACATAATACTAGCGTAAAAAAATTAAGCTGCTAATTTACTCTGGTATTATGTGAAAGCGTTGTCCTTCCCAGATCGAGGCGACTCAATCGTGCTACAACTATAATATAACTGCAGCATGGCTCTACTACGAGCTCAACAACCACCTGATGGTAAGTGGATTCTGTGGCTCATAGTTATCTACATCTATTCAGATCAAGAATCATAATGCAGTTGCGTTGTCATCCTTCAAGACTAAGACGGAACGTTTATTTATGCTTGCCCTGTTCGCTGGTTACGAGAACCAGTAAAAAGGGTTTCCGGTTCTCTGCATTCACCATACGTAGCATATCAGCATTGTATATTAGTATTCTGTATGATATAAGAAAAATTATATGTTAGCAAAAGAAGAGCAAATGTTCAATATATTTGTATTGATATATTTTATAATATATTGAATTGAAGGAGTATGCGATTTTTTTCTTTAAATATCTTTTTGTGTAGATGACAACTAACCTAACCTTTATTTCATTATAGAAAATTTTGTCACAGGTTAAAAAGGGAGCAATCTTCTCGAAAGCCCGGTAAAAAGCACAGGCGTGCGAGAGACGACTAATCGCTCAAATCAAATCTTTTCTTTCATTAATTTTGACAGTCCATTGCATGTTAGCTTTGAGACAGAAAGAACACGAATCAGTGTATTTCGAATTGAAAACAAACTGCCAAGTGTTGACGTTCATATATGCTAAGAGGTCATGAACTGTGTAGAACAAGGAGCGCGCGGAAAATTTGAAATAGTTTGAAACAGTTTACGAGTTATTTTATTAGTTGATATTATTGATTGAGCAGTTTGAAATTGCCCGGCTTTTTGGCTTCTATGGAGGCTTCGCCACTGTATATAGCATTGTTTTAAATTTGAGACTAAAGCATTTAGTGATTATTATTATTACTTTTAAAATCGTTATCTTCAACGCAATAGATAGGGGATGGACAGGGACAGGGGGGGACAGATAGGGGAAAATATTAAAAATTTATAAAATTTTCTCTCTTTTGCTTGTCTTGTATTTAATAAACGTATCCATATGACATCACATGACGCAATTTGCAAATCTCACTGCAGATAGAATTCTAAATAGTCCTTACGTAAGTCTACACGTTGGGCTTACAAGTCAATTTACACATTTACAATCTTTCTTAACTGATACTTTAAAATTATTTTGTGTATCTGTACTTATTTAAAAAGATGATCTAAGGCTTCCGCTCTGAATAAAAACACTATCGTTTGTGTGTCATATTATTAATTTATTATATTTACGAAAATACTACACATTGAATGAAACTAATTTTCGAAACGTCGGGACTTATGTTTAAGTTAAAAAAGTATACTTTCAAAGTTATTCAATTCAAAAAGAGCTTATCATTGTTTGAAGACGGTTTATATATTTTTTCTAATGTTCGATAATTGGATTTTCCATTTGAGTTAAATATGGGTAATTTTAAATTAAATCCAAGACATAATTTCTCAAAGATAAAAGTTACAGCCTATATACGTCCCACTGCTGGGCACAGGCCTTCTCTTGTTTTTGAGAGGGTTTTAGGGCAAGGAAGTGCCCGCCACGCTGCCCCAATGCATGTTGGCGAACATCACATGTCTTAGAAAAATTTTTTTTATTTCTCAGACATGCAGGCTTCCACCATGCCTAGCAAGGTAGACGAGCAGGCACGAAACTAACAAAGTATTATATTACTTACATCACATTTGGTCAATGCCAATATCCTTCTCTGTCTATTCAGAAATAGATAACGATAATTTTGTTGAGTGTGAGTTTTAGTCCGATATTATACAAAATAGGTTAGCAAAAAAAGCACACAGAAAATAAAATTAGTTGCTCTTTTGTTGTTGTGTGTAAACGCAATATCCTCGAGTTACATGTGTATTGCGAAATAATAAAATTATTTTCAAAATACACCTTCCGCTGCTGTTCAATCTTCTCTTTTAGCCGCAGTTCGCGACGCTCGCGCGCTAACCGCTCACCCTCAATACGCGTTTGCTTGGCTCGTCTTCGCTCTCGTGCTCTCCTCCTTGCTGATCCAGAAGTAGGTACGCTTAGTCGTCTGTCAATTATTAGATAAGGTATTTTTTATTGTTGTAGAATTAGAATTCCTATGGAGAGAGAGAGAGAGAGAGAGATATATAGAGAATTTATTACACCATTACTTTCGGTATGTGAAAAAAGAAGAAGAATTAAAATTATAATAGTAAAGCGAAAAATGTTGCCTTCAATGCTTACAATACAAAAATGTCAGTAATATAACATATTATAGTTATTCTATTTCACGATGAAGGTTTCACCTTGATTGTAGTAGTGACGTGTACCGACAGGCGCGTTTGCGTGTGTAAACTGAAGGACCGCTTCGCAATCTTGACTGAGGTTACGCTTACGCACACTACACAATGTGGATTTATGTGCATGGCTAACAAACAAAGAACTTTCAGAAATTTACCTTAAATTTTAATCTATAAGTATAAAAAAATGTAAAAAAGTTGTTTATGTAATTCCAATATGTCCTAAAAAAAACAGTTCAGGGTATTATGAAGGATACTGAAACCAAAATAGGGGCTTTTAGAAATCCCATCACCCCATATCATGGTATGTGTCGTAAGAGGCAACTATGACAAATGCCAAAAATCTATTGCCCGCCGAAAGATAACGGTACAACCATCTTGTTTAAGTCAGACGTAAAATACCCGAATCGGCGACGGACAGCAACGTCAAAGGTGCGATACATCTAGTACCTACCAGTGATTGTCAATCCGCCTGTGAGTATTAAGGGTATGTTCCTAAACGTTTTCAGTACACTGCCGAATACAAATGACGTCATCAATTGACACTATATTGTACTTGCGTGCCGCCGCCATATTGCGTCGGATATCCGGCCATAATAAAACAATTTTTAATTGTGTGTGCGCTGAATGAAGCATGCCAGAATTTTTTTTTATTTATTTAAATACAAAAAATTATAGCATAATTGCTGGTATCTCCATTAGGAGGATATGATGATTTTTGGAGCACAAAATGACATAATAATCACCAACACTTTTCCAATATGGCGCAAATGTATGACGTCATATACTGTCCTATGTTTTGGAACGAATCACCAGTATAGCGTCGATTCATGACGTCATTTGCATTGGACAGTACACTGGGTTCTATTTTGGAACATACCCTAAGTCTAACACCAAATCCTCCCTACAACGAGGGAAGCTCATGTCCAGCGGTAGAATATTGAGGGGCGATGTAGAAGATGAAAGCATGTTTATATTTCATTTCATTTGTAGGTTTCACTTCTACGTCGTGTGAACTAAACACATGTTTTTTTCCACTTGTTATTAGGAAGAAGCCGCTGCGTATCTCTTGATTTGTTTCCCTCTGTCGGCTTTTACGACACGCACAGGACGAAGACTTGCACGTGGTAGTTTATGCTACCACCTACCACCACCGCTACGTGTTAATGCTAATATAATGTTAATTAATGCTGGTGTTCCACAAGGCTGCGTGCTATCGCCAACGCTGTTTCTTCTGCATATCAATGATATATTGCAAACCCGTAATATTCATTGCTATGCAGATGACAGCACTGGTGATGCTCTTTACACCGGCCGAGCCAATATTTCTCGGGAAAACGTCTCCGCCTGTAACTTTACAAGGCGCAGGTTCGGCCGCACATGGAACACTGTTCCCATCTCTGGGCTGGGGCTCTCCAGTACCAGCTCCTTCCACTTGACCGCATCCAGCGCAGAGCGGCTCGAATCGTCGACGACCGAGTGCTTTCCGATCGGCTCGATTCACTGGCACTGCGAAGAGATGTTGCATCTCTTTGCATTTTCTTTCGCATATACCACGGAGAGTGCTCTGAGGAATTGTTCGGATTAATCCCAGCCGCCAAATTTTGTGAACGTACTACGCGGCAAACGTCAGACTGGATCACCGTCTGGATGCTTGGCGGTCCACCACTGTACGTTTCAAGAGGAGTTTTCTTCCGCGTACAACCTCTCTGTGGAATAGTTTACCACCAGCGATTTTTCCAGACCGATACGACCTGGGGACCTTCAGGAAAAGAGCGTACTCCTTTCTAAAGGGCCGGCAACACACCTGCAATTCCCCTGGTGTTGCGGTTGATCATCAGCGGCGGTAGTCACTTAACATCAGGTGAGCCGCATGCTCGTTTGCCCCCTCTCCTATAAAAAATGGACTAAAACATAATAAAACAGCCAGTATTTTACAACAATAGAGGACAGGTCAGGACATACAATTCTGTAAATTAAAGAAGGACAATGAATTTTATAACAGCCCAATTGTATTAAGATAAAAAAAATAAAAAAGTTAAAAGGTAGTAACGAATTTATGATTATATTTTTTCTTCAATCCATATCCAATCATCTACATTAACGATTTTATCAGAAATTCATTGTTCCTTTTATCCACCGTACTTCGCCGGACAGCAATTTCAAAACATTTTTTAAATATACTTTTAAGCTTTGTGTTTGATCTTTATTATAATTGAAATGTAAAACACTTTCTTAATTTTACAAAAAATGGTTTAATTAAAAATATTTAAAAGTATTTAAAAAAGTTGTACATAATCGATAAAATCTAATAATAAAAAAAAACTATTATAGGATAACCAATCAAAATGAAAATGTGAAAAATAAAACTTGGATGATATTCACCTGCAAATTTTTCAATAAACCCAACTTTGATTTCCTTGGAACTTACTTGAACATGCACAAAATTCGCCGCATGCATATGATATTCATAACCTATAGGTTCGTAATTGAACGTTGTAAAATATATTGTGATGGTATACAACTTGAGTAAAGGATATCAGTTATATAACTACTATGTCCCATCAGAGACATCAAAAGCAAAACGTACTACGCCACACCCCATACAGACAGACTTCACTCATTTCATTTCCACGTACAGTGATCTAATCTGGTGCGAGAAAGCGGAGGACAACGTAACTTGCAAATTAGGCAATCGCGATATAAGAAATCTAGAGATGTAATCACTACCACTAATATTACTATTTCATTCAAACACAAGTTTTTAATTCAATAATATTTAGACTTCTAACTATAACGATTAGGTACTATTACTTTTATTTATGTGTGTCTCGTAGGTACATTTTGATGCATAATGTAATTCTTTTGAGAAATAAATATCTTAAACCACAAGTACTGTTCATTTACTAAATGAAGTGGCAGTGGAACGGCCATATACCTCGAAGAACCAGCACCTGATGGGGAAGAAAGGTTCACGAGTAGCAGCCTCGCACTGGTTCTCAAAGTGTAGGGCGACCCCTCACTAGATGAAATGTCGACCTGGTAAGAGATGCAGGAAGTCGATGGGTGTATGTGGCTCTGGGACGTTCTTTGTGACCTACGTCAGTCAGTGGACTTCCCGTTATCCGTACCTTATGATGATAATGAGGAAAGACCTAAATAATGTGTACTACCGGATTAAAAACATCTATAATTAAAGTATAAAACAACTATTAAAACATAGTTTGATATATATATATATATATATATATATATATATATATATGTGTGTGTATATATATATATGCGTGTGTATGTGTGTGTTAATATATTACACTGTCATATCTCCATTAGAATTATAAGTAGGTACCTTATCAAATAAACGCAACATTCTATACGTTTTATATGTTTAGAATTTTGCATTTATACTAATATAGTTATATAATATATTAGCATTTATATTGCCATAATATACTACTAAATCTAAAAATTTATTTAAATCAAAACAAATTAAAATTGATATAAATTAAAAGAAATCGGCCCGAGACAACTCACCTTCGCAACCTATGTGTGTTCAAGACAAACATTTAGATTTCTATTTCACTTATCTCAACAATCAATACATATCACTTTTTCTAAATATACTAATCATATTCACTTTATAAATCAAAATATGGTTTAATATAACGTAAAAAATACAACAATATTATTTAGACTTAGTTATTTAAAATAGTCTATGTTTTCGAATTCAAACTAATTTAAAAATATGAAAAGATATTTAGGGTTGTAAGTTACGACAAAATGAGCTTTCGCTCGTAACTGCGAACATCTGAATCTGAAACAACCTACAGTATAAATCGTGAAGGCATGCACGCTATATCGTACTTATTCATTCTAAACATATACCGACGATACGACGAATTATTATCTATATTCATTTCCTTATTCATTTCTTTATTCATCGTTATAAGTTTTTAGGGATTAGTGAAAATGTTAAATATAAAACAAAATACTCATATTTACAAGCTTAGAACATGGTGCTTATTTTAGTGTATTGAAAACCGTAGGAGGTATTTAAATTTACTAACGAGCGGTGCCCTTTGATAACGTAGAGAAACTTCAATCGTTTTCTATTTGTCTTATGCAAGAACACCAAGCTGTCAGTGAATTACGATGATTTTTGGGTCATGGTTAAACATAAAACAACTTAATTTTTAATTTGGTAACTTTTATACATATTATAAATATTAATATCTTGCAAGGAGCAGATTTTAATATGAACATTAACATCATCATCATTACAGCCCTCCACAAGCCCACAGCTGAGTCCTCCCCCGAGAAATGCTACAAAGCACGGTTCTGAGCCACACGTCCTACACTTCGCTCACCGGTACTCCAAATTAAACTTTAGGTTCATTGTGTATCTAGCCATTCAGTGATCACTGCCAGTTTTCATCCTCACGATCACTGAGTCACTACTGAATAGTTGCCGTCATTATTAAGTTAACCTAATTTTTTATCAAACCGTCGGTTCTCGACCAAGTCCACTCCCTGTGGAGTCGCTTCTAGAAGAAAAAGTTCATCATAAAGAGTCCCATGACAGCTGCTGGCTTCTTGAGTTCCGTTGCCCTATTCCGAATTTCCCTACCTTCAGCTCACCGTTTTCTCTTGTGCCTAGTTTTGCGTTGAAATCTCCCATTAACACCGTATAGCGAGTTTTGGAGCAATGTACGGCTTCAGCGATATCCTCATACATATCCTTCACCTCCTGATTTTTATGCGTCGAGCGTGGTGGTGGCTCCTTGGCACAGATGGTCGCGAGCCCGATAATAGAATAAGTTGTCGGTCCTATAATATCCCAGCGCAACTTGTCTATCTCTACTTCCAGCTCTAGGATCTTCTCGTCAGTCCTCAGGGTGCGTGCGGTAAATGTTGCCAGATGGAGTCATCTTGGGGCACCAAATGCCCCGCCGTTAGCATGGTCGCCACCGTAGCCAGGAATAGCACAGCCCCCAAAACTGTATTCATTTATTTGCGTCGTTGCTCATGGGGGGGGGGACGTTAGCCATAGTTGCCACGCTTGGCGAGCGGGTCGGCAATCGCAGTTTATTTATTGTGCTATTGCTGTTATCAGAAAGACACTGACATAACGATTGTAATTTCAAAAAAGAAGTTCCTTTCTTGTTGAAAAGCTGTGTTTGTACTAGTAGATATGGACGTAAGTATGCAGGAGTGTTGTGAATGTGGTCTCTCCTACATAGGACTAACTAAAAGATCAATTAAAACCCGCGTTAAAGCACATATAGCTGATGTGAAGAATCGACGCTCCGGGAAGTCTGCAGTCTGTGAACACGTACAGGATCGCCCCCGTCACTACATCAGATTTGATAGAACACAAATCCTCGCTAAAGGACACCGATTCCTTCCAAGGATAATTCGCAAGGCCATTGAAATCAAAAAACATCCCAATTTCAATAGAGAAGATGGCTGGGTGCTACCATCTGCTTGGGATCCTATAATAAATAAAATTAAATCCCACCATCCCACCCAAGCATACAACTACGACTTCAAGATACCATAAGTTCATACTATGTAGATCGGAAAAAAAGTTAAATTTTAATCTATGGTAACCGCGGTTAACTATGACATCTGGACGTTGAACATCTCAGTCCCCCCCGTGACCATGGGTGCTGTAAAGTGCTCGAAACGTCGGATAATTAAAAAGTTATATATGCGATAAAATCCGTAAAAACTAGTATTATTTAAAAGGGTCATCCATGTTGAATGAATTGGTAAAATCAATCAGTATAAACACTCTGACTTTTCTGTTCTACATGCGCTCCCGAATGTCCTCTGTGACTTTGAGAAGTGCAGTGGTTGTGCTGCGTCCAGGCAGAAAACCAGTTTGAAACATAGATAGCAAGTTATTTCCACGTGCGTGCGTGCGTGCGTGAGTGCGTGAGTGCGCGAGTGCGTGAGTGCGCGAGTGCGCGAGTGGGCGAGTGCGCGATTGCGTGAGTGCGTGAGTGTGTGAGTGCGTGAGTGCGTGCGTGCGTGCGAGCGTGCGTGTGTGCGTGCGTGCGTACTTACGTGCGTACGTGCGTGCGTACGTGCGTGCGTACGTGCGTGCGTGCTTGCGTGCGTGCTTGCGTGAGTGCGTTCGTGCGTGCGTGCGTGCGTGCGTGCGTGCGTGCGTGTGTGTGTGTGTGTGTGTGTGTGTGTGTGTGTGTGTGTGTGTAAGTATCTAAACCTTTCATATCAGTAAAAACGGGTTTCCGGTTTTCTACACTCACCATACGAAACACAGCAATGAGCAGTATTAAGCTTGAGTAGACACATTCTACAGCCATAATATAGCTGCAGCATGGCTATACCACGTAAAAAGTTGGCGGAACGTCTAATTGAATAAGATGAGTAATTTCCGATAATAACCATTTACATAAAACGACATCGCGTTTTACCCCAACATACGAATTTAGTGGGTTACAAATTTTTTTGCTTACAACGGTAATGCAAAATTAAGTAAGTCACGACAGAATACCTGATAAGAAAATTTAATCAATAAGTTATATAACTAATGTTTTAAACACAAATGTCGAAGCTATGTTTATCGGTGTTCACATATACATTCTTTTGCCTTGCTGATAGAAAAGCTAATTATATTTTAAAATTCCTCTCTAATAAACCACCATTTGAAAATAGACCCTCACGTTTGCTGATAAAGCTTAATTTATTTTATTGTTCATAAGTTTTTAGTGCCCTAGTTATAAAGGGCGTCGAAAATTTACATGTCATTTATTTAAGTTGGCTTTCGGCTGATCCTGGCGGTACCGGGTGCCGGTCGATCGATTGCCGCAAGCATGATGCCATGTTTTGTATACACTACGTTGTACTTTTATTATAAAACTCATAAGACTATATAATTTTTACACGCACACCTAACGACGTTTGATTTAACGAATTAAAATTATGAAAAAAAAAAAACACAACATATCGCTACCCGCCTATGCCTATAAACCTGCTAGGCACAAATCGCTTCTTTCGTAGCTTTCCTACTATAAGCTTTCCGAGAAATTGGGCAATTGATTCACCAGTTTTCTTCAGCAGATCAGAGTGTCAAGATCATAGTAAACGGTGCATACTCCGATTAAAAGCCTAACAATGCTGGTTTTCCACAAGGCGAAGTGCCATCACTCACGCTGTTTCTTCTGCATATTGTGACAGCGCATTATTACCAATAATAAGTAATAATTAATATCTTTATAAAGTCGCCCAAAAATATGTTAAAAGTAATATTTTGAACAATTAAGCATACAGTTAAAATACACTCCTTTCGAACATTAAGTATTATACTTAGTAAAGTAAATGCTTAAAATTTTCTAAATCTAGGATTAAAAAATACTATTAAGTATAAGGTATTCAATAGCAGAATCACAAATCGATTATATTACAATAATGAAGATACATATCATTAATAA